GGGCTCGCCCCACAACTCCGGGCTCACCCCACAACTCCGGGCTCACCCCACAACTCTGGGCTCACCCCACAACCCCAGGCTCACCCCACAACTCCAGGCTCACCCCGCAGCTCCAGGCTAGGTGGTGAGTATTGAGGACACCCTGTCAGAGGAGTGTTTTCCGGGCGAGAGGACAGGGTGTCAGCTAGCAGAGTTTGGGAGTATTCTAACATTTTGAACATTGCAAACCTGTCAGCAAGTCCTTTAGTGTTTGCTGGTCAACAGTGACCCACTGGTAGAGATGCTTCTGCTCCTTGGGAGATGTGTCCTGGGGCACTGCATGGAGCAGCATGACATCCAAGGCTGTCAGCGGGGCCTCTGAGGTTAACTTGTGTCACTGGCCTGGTGACTTTGTGCAGGTTGCTTAGGCCCCAAAGCTTCTGTTTTTGCCTTTTTTTTTTTTTTTTGCGGTATGTAATAGTGGAAATAATGCTGGGCTCTTCCACGAGAGTCTTATGAGATTAAATTATAGAGTTGAGCACAGTGACTTGTACCTTGTAATTGTTAGCTCTTGTTATTATTGGCACAAGTGACAGACGGCGTTAGGAACAGTTACTTGGAGAAAGGATGAAGAGATAAGTCTAAGGGGAAGCACTTTGGGGGCCACGATGGCTCATTGGGTAAAGCACATGCAGTCCAGGGACCTGAATCCAATCCCTTGGGCCCACATGATGGAAGAACAGAACCAACTCCCACAAATTGACCTCTGACCTCCACACATATGCTGTAGCATGCTTGCTATAAATAAAAAAAAATTAAATTTAAACAAAAGAGACAGTAGCCAGGCATGGTACCTCACACCTTTAATCCCAGCACTCGGGAGGCAGAGGCAGGGGGATCTCTGTAAATCTGAGGCCAGCCTGGTCCCTCAGAGCTATTATAGAGCAGCCAGGGCTACATAGAGAAACCCTGTTTTGAAAAAAACAAACAAAAAAATAAAAAGAAGAAGAGGAGGAGGAGGAAGAAGAAGAAGTGGCAGCAACAGCATTTGCTGGATGCCTGATTTAAGAAGGAGGAAGGGGACAGGGAAAGGTAGGGACCAAGGAGATGACCAGGAAGTAGCCATCACCGGCTTCAGAGAGGAACATGCTGAAGCTGAGAGGCTCATGATCCTGAAAATTTAGATGACACACTCATTTTATTTAAATGTCCTATGAAAGCATTTATTTAAAGGAACCTTCTGAGCCTGTGAGCTGGTTCAGTGGGTGTAGGCACTTACCATCAAGCCTGATAACCTGAGTTTGATCCCTGGAACCCACACAGTGGGAGGGAAAATCCAAGTCCAACAAGTTGTCTTCTGTGGACTGGAGAGATGGCTCAGTAGTTAAGAACACTGGGTGAAAACAAAACAAACCAAAACCAAACCAAAAACACTGGCTGGCCTTCCAGAGGACCCAGGTTCAATTCTGAGCACTTACATGGCAGTTCACAAGTTCTCCTCTGGTTTCCACATATATACTGTGTCTCCCTGCATACCCCCCCCAGTAGACAAATAAATGAAAAATAAACAGGAAAACACATCAGGGAACCTTTTGGTAGGTCTGCT